CATCTGTAACCGAAAACCAATCCATGTCATAAAGCCCTGGAGCATTTGTGAGCCATCAAACTTGGAAGGAGGGATCCCATTCCCATGATGACTTTCTTTGAAAAGTCAAAACATGCACTATATGACGAGCTTGCCATCAGCTCGACAAGATGAGGATCTGCTTTTTTTTTTTTTAAGCAATTTCTTAAACAGAGATTCAAGTTTCTACTTTTTGCATGCTCACTCACTGCTTGCCCTAAATCAGTAGGGAAAAGGGAGGGATATGTCATCCAAATTTGAAAACAGCTGCAGCTTATACAGAATGTGATCAGCCATGAGCCAAGAAAGTGTACTGGGAAAACCAGACTATATAAGGACATGCAGAAAGCATCTAATCCTTATCAATGAGAGCTGGACATTGTGAATAATACATGCTGCCCTGCAAGACATGATTGGCGTGACGTTAACGGTCTTAAATGTGGGCAAAACTTGTGTATGCAGGATGTATACAGATAGTCGAACAGGGGTTTTGTGTGAAAGCCGTGCATGATTTCTTTCGACGTTAAAACACGCTATTGTAGTCAGGAAAACCGAGACCTGCAAAGGTCAAGAAACTCAAGAATGGGAGTAAGTTTCCACTCAAATGATGGACTATGGAACCATAAAGAATGATTCTTATTTAGATGTGAAAAATGTTTGGCACAGTCGACTAATTTATAAACCAACTAGTCTAATGAGAATAATCTAGTCAAACCAACTATATTAATGATGTCAAGTAGTGAATTAATCTAAATTTTTTTTTCTCTCTTTTTTTTTTTTTAAACAATACTTTTAAGTGGTGCTTTCATTTGGATTAGAGCAATTTGTTGTGCCACATGTCCTGAAAGTTTTTTTAATAATACATCCATCATTTTATACAAGTATTCGACTGGTTTCAACTTCTATCTACCAAGTTTTCTACAAACTTTCAAAAAATGTCTCAAAACCCACTGTGCTCCAACCAACTACTGTGAACACAAGACTGTGTCCCAAGTAGGGATATGCCGGTATCAAATTTTCATGTTGCGATTAATTGCTAATGCTTTTATTACGGTATACGGTATTATCACGATATTGAAATTTAGTTAAAAAAAAGTGCTGTCATAATACAGTATAACAGGTTTAATAACTTTTTTCATATAACAAAAATAACTGAACATTTAAGTGCAATAAAGCAATACAGAAAAATTTATAAAGTTAAAAGTTTTACACAGATTAAAGTGCAAAAGAACCCTTTACAATAAGACCTCATTAGTTAACCTTAGTTAATGCATTAACATTCACAATGAGCAATAGCTACATTTGCTACAGAAGCTATTGATCTTTGTTTAAAAAATACAAGTCTTAGTTCATGTTAGCTCATTAAATAACACAGTTGCAACTTTCGATTTTAACTAGGGCTGGGTATCAATTCTGATGTTCCAATTCGATTCGATTTTCGATTCAATATTCGATTTCGATTCGATTTTTGATTTCAATTCTCGATTCGATTTGACTATATGAATGAATATAGATTTAATACAAATCCTATATTTATAAAAAATGAACAGTGAACATAAGATTACAAATGGTTAATTAATAGGAAATTAAGAGCCACAAACCTGTATATTAAACACTTTTTATTTTAGGTACACTTGGGTACAATAAAACAAAACCCAACTCTATATTTCAAATGCATACAATTCATAAACAGAATTTTGATGCAAGATGAAAAACTGATGCTGAAAATTGGACAAGTCAGAACAATCGCATGCCTTGATCAAACAGGATCAGGTTATTTTATGTTTAAGACAAAACAAACATAAAATATCACAGCATTAGCTGTAACCAGGGCCGTTTTAACCATAGGGCTAGGTGGGGCTGAAGCCCCGGGGCCCGAGCAAGGAGGGGGCCCGTGATTGGCTGTGGAGTAGATTGTCTGGAGCGCCGATCACCAAAGCCATCACGCCCCCCACTTATTAGCGCTGTTATTTAGTTGAGCTTTTCTGTAAATTCCATGCATTACCATTTGAGGTTGAAACGTAAAGTCTGAATTTAGTTTACCAATCAAATGCATTTATTCTATATTCGACTTTTGAACTATATGCGCACATATCTATCAGGTGATTGCTGCCCAGTATGTCTGCGTTCACCTCTCTTCACTTTGTTCTGGAGTAATCTGGAAATGGTTGCGCAAAGAACAACATTCAATAAGTAAAAATGTCAGCAATTCTAAAAGAGAGAGGGGCTCAAAAAACTTCAAATACAAACAACATAAAAAACATGACTTCGTAAATTCCCCAGCTATCAGGTTATTTTACTAAAGCTGATGATGGAGTGGAAGTTGTTGGAACAGCAAGTGAACCGGGCACATGTAGCAGATAAAAACAGTGTCATCGTCCACACAGATTTTAGGTTAGTTTGATTATTAACTGGATTTATATTGTTTTTGTCTTTGAACAAACTATTTAAGGATTGGGAGATAATCCGGTAGAAATATATCAATCGTTGATTGAAGCGCGTCATGATGTAGTCTAAGCTTATCATTTCAAGGCGTTTTAAGCAGGTTTTAAAACAAATGGTTTATACTGTTCATGGACATTATGCTGCGGGGCAGAATTCATTCTGGTAAATGCGTGCATTAAAACGGTTTCTGCCTGATACACCTGCTCGTATTACTGACTAAACTTTCGCTCCTTGTGCTTAAACGGTCAAATACACATAGTTATGTCAAAATGCCCGTCTTTGCGAGTATCCTCGTAAACACAGTTATTTGTTTCTTAAATGAATGTTGATAGTTAAAGATAAAGCATGTGTTAGGCTATATGAGATCCTTAGCCTATATGATGAGATCTTAAAAGGATATTCACCCAAAAATGAAGATACTGTCATCATATACTTACCCTCAAATTGTTCTAAACCTCTATGAATTTCCTTTTTCTCCTCAACATAAAAGAAGATATTTTGAAGAATGATCGTAACCAGTTTCTGGTCCCAACTGACTCTAATAGTGTTTTTTTTCTTCTTTTTTTTCTTTTTCTTCTCATATATGGAAGCAGTGAGGGCCCAGCAACTGTTTGATTACCAATATTGTTCCAAATATATTCTTTTGTGTTCAACAGCATGAAGGAATCTCATACAGGTTTAGAACATCAACAGAATTTTCATTTTTGGGTGAAGTATAATGCAGCCTAATATAGCTGTTGTTGCCTAATTTGTGACTGTTTACTTGTCTTCAGTAAGCTTATTTTTACTTAGGCTGATATTATTTTTTATTGATATTGAAATTGGTAACAAATTATGAAATTTCAGTGCATCAAGAATTTTGATATGGTATAAAACTCCTATTTAAAGCTTATATATATATATATAAATTTGTATATACTATATATGGTGTCCATATACTTATTATAAATGTACCGTATGATTCTGTCATCATTTATGCATGTATGAATTTCTTTTCTTCGGTTGAACACAAAAGAAGATATTTTGAAGAATATGGATAACCAAACTGTTTTGGTCCCCATTGACGTCCATATATTTTTCTCTATACTATGGAAGTCAAGTCAATAGGGCCCATCAACTGTTTGGCATATAGCTTTGTTCTTGTCCACAGTATCTTTGTCATCGTGCTTGCGAAATCTAAAATGCTTCCATACCTCTGACTTTAATAAGGGGGTGACATCTAGTGGACTTGTAATAAGATTAACGTAAATCTTATGTTCAATGTTTGTGGAAATAAATATTGAAAAAAATCGATTCGTGGCCTTCGAGAATCGATATTGAATCGACCACATTTTTAAAAAACGATATATCGAAAAATCTTTTTTTTGCCCAGCCCTAATTTTAACAATGTGTTATTAAATATTGGAATACCTAAGATTAATGAATGTTCAGAAGAATTTTTCATTGCCAATTTATGTTAACTAATGAATTAACTAATGTTAACTAATGAAGCCCTAATGTAAAGTGTGACCGAACAATAAAGAATCAAAACACTTTCAAACAATATCTAGGGCATGTTGTAGTCCAGATTAAAATGTAAAAAAAGTTTGAAAATAAATAGCCTATTAAGTCTAAATATTTAAGTAGTTGGCGCTGTTATGAACATCACAGCAAATACACAAATCTGAATGGCTGTTTAAATCATTTAGAAACAGAAAGTCCTGCAGCTGTTTTGATTACAGGGTTTCCCGGGTAACGGCTGCATTTCTGCAGTTTAGCGCCATCTGCTGTCAGAGAGTGAAAGTGTGCTTTCATCCAGAGCGTCTCTCATGTTCCGCCATGCGCTTCTCGTCCGCGCTTGTTTACATCAGAGTGCGCACGCAGCATACAGCGGTGTTGTGCATTTTGACCAGTTGATGGGAAAAGTATTCTTAAAATGCATTCAAAATTCGGAATAATTTGTAATATACAATTATTCACGGTATTTAGAAGTGAATATACAAGATACAGATCCCCAGTAAAGACCTTGTCTCAGACGGCCATCGGGACAAGACCACAGGAGCCAGATGAGTCCTCTGCACAATGTGACTTTGCTGCAGCCTGGAATTGAACTGCTGATTTCGTCTGGCCAGAGGAGAACTGGCCCCCGACTGAGCCAGGTTTCTCCCAAGGTTTATTCTCCATTCTGTCACCGATGGAGTTTTGGTTCTTTGCCGCTTTCGCCTCTGGCTTGCTTAGTTGGGGACACTTAATATGCAGCGATATAATCGACTTGATTGCAAGGATACTACTTAAACTGAACTGAGCTGGATGATGACATCACTGAATTCAATGATGAACTGCCTTTAACTGAAAAAATTGTGTTTACTATTGTCATTTTGCATTATTGACACACTATTTTCCTAATTAATGTTGTACAGTTGCTTTGACACAATATGTATCGTTAAAAGCACTATATAAATAAAGGTGACTTGACTAATTGTTTTGAAGTCACCATAATGGTGAGGAAAAAAATTCTAGACTAAATGAAAATTAATAAGAAAATTCCTTCACATATGAAACTGCTGGATCAGTATCTGCATTTGTCCAGGTGACAGTCTTGTTCAGGACGTGTTGTTTTGAGTCACTTGTTTGGAGCTTGTGGAGTTTCCACTGTCAAATACTGTACAATATAGAGAAAGATAAAATACACTCAGATCTGCTTTAATACAAGATAATAAATGAAAGCATTGACTCAATAACTTACTATAGTTTCTTCAGTTTACAGTGTGGATCCTCCAGTAGAGCAGAGAGCAGCTTCACTCCTGAATCTCCTAGTTTATTATTGCTCAGATCCAGTTCTGTCAGGTGTGAGGGGTTTGATCTCAGAGCTGAACTCAGAGCAGCACAGCCTTCCTCTCCAATACTGCAGCTCCTCAGCCTGCAGAGAGTGAAGAACATGAATGATCTCTGAGATTGTGTTTACGCTTTAGGGTCAGAGTGTGTTTGTATGAGCTCTACTTTTTCTATTCACCAGGATCAGCGCTCTAGATTTTAACTTGCCAGCAGCTGAGACATTAATTTAAATGCACTCTACCCACATGATTCATGATTGTGATGCTGAACTAGTTTATCGTTTTCACTCTTCAAACCGTTTGTAGTACTATATACGTGATAATGTTAAAATAAGAGTAACACATCTGTTCCACCTTTATTTGACCCTCTAACTCTAACACTTTCTATTCTATTTTAATTATATTTTATAAAAAAAACTACAAAAAACAAACAAACACTAGCTTTCTATTTTTTCTATTCTATCTACTTGTTTTTCTTTGTGTATGTGTGTGTGTATATACGTGTGTGTGTATAATATATACTGTATATATATATATACACCTTGCTGCGTGTACTGCGTTAGGCTAACCGAGACTTGTCATTTGCACTTTTATATTGTTGCTCTTTTGTTAGTTTTGACTGCTTTTATTGTCCTCATTTGTAAGTCGCTTTGGATAAAAGTGTCTGCTAAATGACTAAATGTAAATGTAAAATGTAACATTATAGTATAACTATGACATATAAGTCTTGTAAGGATCACTCATTGGCCCAATGATGGAATCCAGTGGTGTGGGTGAAGATCAAAGACTTTATATTTAGGAAGACTGTGCACTCTTATTATTTATGAATGGGAGAATGTGCAATGCCCAATATGGCGAATAAGCCCCGCCTTCTAAATTAAAGAGCCAATCGTGGATCAGTAAAGTCATTGTGTCACTGCAGCTGCCGTTAGAAGCTCCGGTTGCTATAGAAACAGACAGCGTTCTCAGACTCACGCTCATGACTGCGCTTGCTCATTGGCTGATCTAGCGTTAAAAACAAGCTGCTTTAATAGTATTTGAACATAAGAAACACACTTTATGAGACGGTTGTTGTCAGATTTCATTGGTGTTATTTAATCGTAAGCTTAGTGAACAGTTTTGGAGAATTTGATGTTTCTCTATTCAAAGAGATAGGAGCTGCACTCGGATGCCTGAGAGGCGTTTCAAAGATGGCCACCGAGTGTAACGACTTGTCTTAAAGGGGTCATATGATGCTTTTTTAAAGATCATTATTTTGTGTATTTGGTGTAACAGAATATGTTGACATGCTTTAAAGTTCAAAAAACACATTATTTTTCAAATACTGTACATTATTGTAGGTCCTATATGCCCCGCCTCTCTCAAATGCTTCGTTTTCTACAAAGTCCCTCCTTCCGACAAGCGCAGTCTGCTCTGATTGGCCAGCTGACCCAGTGTATTGTGATTGGCCGAACACCACAAGCACTCGTCGGAAATATAACTCCCCTTACCATAATCGCGAGCATCAGCTTTCAAAATAAATGTAAAGACAGTAAATAATGTCATTAGTTTTACCATCAGTTCAAGCCCGAAAGGGGACCAGAAACAGTAATGATGCAGTACACAAGCCGCGGTTAAGACAGCTGACTCCACTTTGATGTGACACTGTCTCTCTCTCTCTTTCTCTCTCTTTCTCTCTCTCTCTCTCTCTCTCGCACACACACACACACGCGCACACACACACACGATGCGGAAAACTCCACATTTGAACAGTCAATAGCAAATACTTAAACTAATAACAAAACAGTAGCTGATTCAGAAGCGCCAGATTGTCATAGCAAAGTCAGAATTACCTTCTCTCCTAGGTTCACGAAACGGTCGTCCATAAAATGCATTGCTGTTCTGTTGTAAGTAATCGTAAAGATTCCTAAATGCATCTACTTTCGGAAGGTCAAATAAAGTGCTTTTGCTTTCGCCTAGAAACACACAGCGTCTCCCTGACATGGCTGCTTCAACACTAACTGCGGTTACTGAAACCACACCTTCTTTCTTTGCATGCACATTTGGGCGCATTATGCAAATATTTCCACATAGTAACCTAGATATGTGGGGGCGTGTTAGAACGAGCCGTTTTAGGGGGGCGTGGCAGAGTCTTAACTTTGATAAAGAATATATCTTTGGTTTTAAGACTTTAGTCTTTGCAACTTCAGGGATCTTATCTATGCACAATCAGCTTGTAACACTCCAAAGAGAAAGGACAACTTGAAATCGCATCATATGACCCCTTTAAAGAGACTTTGGTGAAGATATAATGCGTGTAGGTCTACTACTCGTGCTTCTGCAAAGTTCACTTAATTTGTTAGGATTGAGTTTAAAGTTTATTGTAGCTCTGTGTTTAATCTGACTCCAATTTTCAAGAGATCATTACATTTAGATTGTGTTTCAAATTAGTAACTAATCACAAATACTGGTTAGTATTAATTGAAATATTTGATTATTCTGGACATCCATGATGTGTCTACTGCTCCATTCATCCTCGAGCCTTTAGTCTGTTCTGTCCTGGACACAGATTTGAGGAAACACCAGCCTCCACATGATCTACTAATCATAGTGATTTCTGAAGAGTTCAGAATAAATCCAATATAACACTTTATCTGTCAGGTAAAAATGTATCATGCCAATTACATAATTAAACAAATAGAATCCAATTCAGAGATAATAAATACATAACATCAATTGCTCAAAGTGCAAACCTAGGGTTGCCAAATTCAGAAAAGGATTTGAAGGGACAATCGTGGTTTTTCATAGAAAAATAAGGGACAGAATAAGGGATACACACACAGGCCTATTATATATATATATATATATATATACACACACACACACACAGGTATATCTTTTAGATTTGCAATGTTTTTTTTTAAATGGAGTCTCTTATGCTCCAAATACAGAAAAATACAGAAAAAAAACAGTAATATTGTTAAATATTATAGCAATTTCTAATATTGGTTTCCTATCTTATTATACTTTAAAATAAAATTTATTTCTGTGACACAGCACTGAATTTTCAGCATCATTACTCCAGTCCTCAGTGTCACATGATCCTTTTATAAATCATTCTTATTCTGATTTATTATCAGTGTTGAAACTGTTGTGCTGCTTAATATTTTTTTGGAACCTGTGTTCCATAAACAAAATAAAAAGTAAAAATAAAAAGTAAAAAGTAAAAAAGAACAGAATTTATTCAAAATGGAAATCTTTTCTAACGATCACGTTTTATCCATTTAACACATCCTTGCTGAATAAAAGTATTCTATAAGTTTCTTTAAAGAAAAAAAGAAATGTACTGACCCCAAACCTTTTTTTTTTTTGGAATAGTTGTGTATATTTAACACAACATTTTTATTTATCAAAGAATCCTGAAAAAATATCACAGGTCCCAAAAAATATTAAGCAACACAACTGTTTTCCAACATTGATTATAAATCAGCATATTAGAATGATTTGTGAAGATTTGATATTTGTGGAATAATGATTGCTTCACAGGAATACATTTTATTTTAAAGTATATTCAAATAGAAAACTGTTTTGTTAAATTGCAATAATTTTTACAGTTTTTTATGTATTTTTGATCAAATAAATGCAGGCTTGGTAAGCATAAGAAACCTCTTTAAAAAACATTACAAATATGTGCAATAACCTTATACTATTTATCACTTTACATCCTAGTACATCCCTACAACTTTATTTTTTATTCTATTCATATTCTACAGTATTTTTTGGAGAAACGCTGTTTTTACACAGCGCTGTAAAGCACGGCATTTCCCTAACGTTAGTGCTTTTGAACGCGCATTTTGAATGCTATTTTAGCGTCACTGCTTATAGTATAATGTTAATGTCAAAGAAGGGCACTAATGTTAACGTTAGCCGGCATTTTTTCAGTAAACGTACGTTTTGAATTTCGCTGCTGTTAACTGCAATGTTTAGGGCTGCATTTCTCAAAAGCATCGTGAGCTAAGTCGATTGTTGAGACCATTTGGTGGCAGATGTTTCTACGATCATCTTAGCCATACAATGCTTTTTTGGGGAAAGACCCTGGTAAATGTGATTTTTATTTGGTCTGTTTTTAAACAACTAGCTGCTAAGAGTATTAATCCAAAATTAGGTTAAAGCTAATACACAGACATGAATTTTGCAATATATTAAATTTACAAAAGCAATGTACAGACTTGTATTAAACCTTTACACACTTTCTTTAATTGTAGGCTGAGCTGGATGCTGAATACAAAAGAGTAAGCCTCAACACTTAAGGTAACTTCTATTCAGTTGAAGAGCAAGTTGTGTGTTGTGTCCTCACATAACAGAACACAGACTCGGCTTTCTCTTTTCTACATCATTGTTGGTTATACACTTACTTGTGCGTGTTTGTGGTTTTCTAGGTTTGTGCTGAGTTTCACCATATCAGAGAAAGTGGCACACACCAGCAAGATTTCACAGATGTTGCATGACATTCTGAATGTTTGATCTTCAGGTGAGTGCAAATTCACAAACACTAACTACCTCCAACACTGTCTTCATTGTATATCAAATAAAGTTGGCCTGCTTGTTTAACATGTTTGTTGTTTTTTTTGTTTACATGATGTCAACATGCTCTCTCAGTGTACGTGTGTGTGGAGAACTGTTCTTCAGGACATGAAATGTAAGTATTAAGTGCACTATGACGTCAGAACCAGGAAGTGTAATTCCTGGTTTCGCCGTGGGTTCCTTTGAGATTTTCCTATGGGTTGTTTTTCAATTTATGAATAAAATAAAGC